GTATAGCAAAATATGTTAAATATCTAAAAAGACAATAATAAACTTTAAAGTATACTTAAAATAATATAACCCTAAAATATAATATAGGCTATATAAGTCATTATTTTATATCATCCAAAATGTAAATATAATATTAAAATATTTTGATAAAAAATGTATTTATAACTATAACTGTTAATATGATTTGAAATAATTAATTGTAATTTAACATATATTCAAAATTTAACTAAAATATTTTTGATTTTGATATGAATCATAAAATTACATCCAAAAAACTGTCATTGGTGCCTTTAAAAAAATCATATAACATTGCATACGTAAAATAAAAATATATAAAAGAAACAAAGCTATATATATATATATAATAAAAATAAATAAATTCAATCATTAAAAATATATCTTAACAAAATAAATTTTTTTCAAAAAAAATTAATTCTAAAACAAAAAATTCATGTTTGAAAATAAAATAAAACAAATTAAATTGAAAATACTTTGAAAATCATGGTTAAAAATAATTAAATTTAAATACTATATTGTAATATCTAAAACAACAAATATAAATAATATAAATAAAACATTTAAAATTTAAAAAAAATATTAATTGATTAGAATTAATATTTATATTTAAATTGATTAGAATTATATAATGTATTTTTGTATTTTATAAAAAATCCAAATTTACATAATTTTTGTCTCCATTTAAATTGATTAAAATAAATAGATTCATATATTTATTATTTTACTTTTCAAGCCACACTAGTCAAAATATAACTAATATTCAAATTTATTATTGTATGAAAATAAAAAAATTAATTACTCCATTTTAAATTGTTCGATTTGAAGTTCAAATAGATAACTATAGTTAAAATAAAATAAATAAAAATGATACATCATTCCAGACTGAACTTCACACCCTAAACTTATCAAATAAATTACTTTGAAAGGATAAATGATTCTTTCAGACTTATTAAATTTATTTGATAAGCGAGTCACACATATTAAATAAACAATTTATTATTTTTAAAAACTTGACATATTAAATAAACTTGTCATTGCTTTACTGTCTAATTATCTTAAACTAATTCCATATATTATACTCTCTCCGTCTTAAATTATAAGATACTTTTAGAGAAGATTTAATATTCCAAAATATAAAATTTTGATAAAAATAATATTTATTAATGATACTTTTTCAATATTAACCTTCCCACATATTCTCTCTCTTTCATATTCCTTCATTAATGAAGTATTAAATGAAGGCTTTTTTTAAAGTTTATATTTTTATCCTACAAAATTAAGGTAATAAAGTGTATTTAATAAGGTTTATTAGTATGTAAAAATTTATCTAACAGTATCTTATAATTTGAGACGAAAGGAATATAAGATAATCGAGAACTTGTATATAAAATAAGATTATTTAATATATGTACACAATCTTTATATATTAGGTAATATTAGACAGTCTACAATTAAAGTTTTTGTATTGATAATAAAGAATTAAGATAGGGTATTATCTTAAACGTGCTAAATAAATTTTTTAAAGAAAAATTTAGAAAATTTAAATACATATCAATTAAGCAATTATCATTCATTGCTTCTCTATTTGTAAGCTGGAATGTTAACAAAATTAAACCCAAAATGATGGATGGATGGAATTCATATCAGGACACAACTTCATATAAAGAACATGAAGCTAATTTGTAAGGATAATTCGTTGTTTGATATGATTCGAAGCACGGGAGACATGCAACATATCTTTAAAACATCTCACAAAAGGCTTCAAATGACTGGAAAGATTCAACCACCCTGTAGTAATGTTATCTTATAGATATGATAAGTATTATACATTGGATGTAACTAATAGGCTCCAAATTATAAAAATCAAATACAAAAAACATAAATACTTACTCAAACATTCTACAAGACCAATTCAACATATTAGATTCTTTGGATATATATTTTTATCTAGCAATCTTTAAACATAAATCACGCTCATCACAATGTGTCAAGCCTTTTTTGTTGTATTAATTATACGAATTGCATAAATCTTAGATATAGAAGTCATTGATAGTATGGATAATAGTTGAGAAGAGATTAAACCAAACATGATTAGAGAAGTGAAACAAACATAAAGGTGTGAAATGCTATATTAACCTAATCTAGTAATTTATAATTGGATAAGATTGAATTGAGAGGGAAAATTAAAGGGTAATTTTAAAAAAAATTAAAATGATAAATATTAAATATTTATTTTTGTGAGTATAGATATTTAATGTATTTGAATTTTAGTAAATTTCATGAGGGCCTTTTCAACATATTAATATGATCCAAAATTTAATATCTTAATACTTTTCATAAATAACGATAGTTCTAAATACTTTATTGTTAAATAGATTACTATTTATATAGTGAAATTTAATATCATGAGATCCAAATTATAAATAGATTAATATCTATACTTTATTACATTTATAATTCTCTAAAATCATGAGGATAGGTCTAAATATTCAAACACATATTCTTTTTTCTAAATATTTAAACAGATAAATATTAATTTAAATTTAAATTCCAATATATTTGCACACACACTCTTAATCATATGAATCTAGATTTTCAGCATATCTTTAGAATTGATAAAAATTTTAAATAGATGGATATTAATTTAAATTTAAATATGATGAGATTTGAATTTTAAATAGATAAAAAATAATTTTTATATACACCTAAAAATTAATAAGTCATCCTACACCTAACTTTAAATTTAAATAATATATTTTATATGCATTAAAAAATAATAATTAGTCGAACCTAACTTCGGAGCATGGAATCGCAAGAAAGACATCCCAAAGTATATAATTACAGCAAACCTAGAAATGAACATGTGGCATTTACTTGCTAATATCTTACTCTCTTCATTCCAAATTATATGACACTTTTAAATGAGTATTTTCATATCAAAATATAAAACACTTTGAGTAGATTAAGGTTTCATTAAATGCACTAATGCGGCAATGCCAATATTATTTTTTCTCTTTCTATAATTAATTTTCATCGCTTCTCTTTTCAATATGTTAAATGAAGGATATTTTTAAAAGTTTATATTTTTTTAAAAAGATAAAATTGTTAAATTTATTTAATAAAATTTATTGGTATATAAAATTTTATTTAAAAATATCTTATAATTTAAGACGGATGAAGTAGTTAATTAGTTGTGATAGTGGGATTTACATTCATATACTTTGAGGTGACCAACCTAAAGGTCTACTACCATCAATGAATTACAAATGAAACCGGATCAAATGTAGGATCGATCTGACCATCAATTGGTCTGATTTTTTACTCAATCTATATAAAAAAATTGTGTGAGGGGTTGAGTGATTTGAGCCGTTTTAAACCATCAGTTGGATCAAGAATCGGATTTGAGCGAGGAACCGGACGGTTCAGAATTTTATCTCTTGTTGAGCCCTAATAACAGCTAAACGACGGAGACACGCACAGGTCGAGCTTCGACTTGGATCCTCCTCTCCTCTCATTCTCTGTGACTTCGGCAGTGCGGCCACGCGATTTCCTCTTCTTCCCCTATCGATCAACGTTGACCACGGCAGGCACAGACCACGGCGTGCTATTTTCCTCCTCTTACTCTATCGATCGAAGCCAGGCAACGTTTTTCGTCCTCCCCCCCCCCCACTATCGATTGAAGCCAGGCACGCACAGACGCACTGAGTGAACACGCAGTGACCGTGCAGAGCGCGATGCAATCTTCCTCATCCTCACCGATCTATCGTCGTCGACCATGGCACGCACCGAAGCCAAGCAGCCATTGATGCACTGAACTGAACACAGATTCAGAGTGTCAGGGCAAAGCATCCCCTACTGAGTTCTCATCGTTTTTTTTTTTCATCCTCCCCGATCGTTTTGAGTTTAGATTCAGAATCTTCTGATCTTCTTCTTCATCTGTCTGCTTCATCATTTAAGTAAGTTTTATGTATTTCAAATTTTGAATTCCTTAGATATGAAGATTCTGTGTATAGGAAATGGCAGACAAATATATATGAAAATTGGGGAAATTAGGAAGAATGAGAGAGAGAAGCATGAAGGAAGTTTGTGTGTGCATAAGAGAAAGAGAAGTTGGCAGTATTTGCAGAGATGATGTTAGTGTGAAGTGAAGGGAAACTCACCTCCTCTGTTTTGTCCTTGGAATCGATCATTTCTTAGTTGAATTGAACTAAAGATTTGTTCCATTATTCTAAATATGGGTGCACATAGCTAGTCGATCAAACCAATTATTTTTCTTCCTTCCTTCGATATAATGTGCGCGCGCGCGCGCGCGCATATATATCCATTGAGGATCTGTTATAAGAATTGACGTAACTTTTTTTTTATGGAATTTAATTAATGAGATTATATAGATATATAATTTTTTTAATTTAATTATTATATCGTTGGTTCAACCATGTTGGACGGTGAACTGTTGGCCTTTCTGGTTCAATGTCTGGTTCAGTTTTGAAAACATTGACTACCATAGATTGTTATATGATGCACTCTCCAATATGCTGATTAAGAAATCACTTATATCAAGGGAAATTTAGATATTTTGTTTAGATTGGGGCTTATCCCTTTATGTATATGAGAATCTACTGTGATTCTCCCTTGGTCTATTACTTATCTTCCTTCCAAGGTCTTGAATATCTTCATTTTCTCTAACTAGAATGTTCTTAGGTTGTGGTTTAAGGGTTAATTACACTAGAATTAGTGAGCATGTATATATGTGCATGTGCATAAGTGCTTGCATTGTGTACCGGTGTCTCCTGTGTGCTTATCTCTCAGAAAATTCTAGGTATATGATTCCATATAACTTTCAATTCCAGATGCCATTTGATCGGGGCATAAATTGTTTGTATATAAATCCAGTTCTAGGTTCCTTTTCTCACTGTTTATATGCTTTTGGAATAGGTGGCATTGTGATTGCGTACCAGTCATAAAGATATCTACATTTTTTATTTTGCTGTCCTTCCAACTAAAGATTATTGTAAAATTCATTTTTTCTGCTTGTTTAGCTGTGCCAGCTCTAATCAGAAAGATGGGTAGCACATTCAATCCACAGATTTTAGTGGAAAAGCTGACGAAGCTAAATAACTCACAGGCGAGCATAGAGAGTATCCTTTGAGAATTTTGTGTGGATTATGATTCCTTTTGCCTTTTATTTTCAATCTTATATCATTAAAGCGGATATTTTGTCTCCCAATATACACACACATATATATGCATTGTTGTAGCAATGTGACTTTTGCAGTTTACTTCAGTTGGAACATTAGCATTCTAATTGTGTCAGCTATGAAATCCATTCTCAAAGCACCCTCCTTTGCTTTCCTTGTTTGACTGTGTTCTGTGATGCTTTTATATATGTATGCATGCATGCATGTGCATGTATATCTAAAAAAATATGATTATTATGAAAAACTAATTTTTTTCAACTTCCATATTGTCTTTATGGCTATCATTTTCCTTTTCACCATGTCATTGGATAGCAAAATTTTGGCACACAATAGGTGTATATATCTATATCTGTATATGTATCAAGGAATGCTAACCTTGTCATCTCAATTTAAATTAAGCGTTATAAAGCTTTATATAGAGCTCAAGAGATAACTCCTAGTAATTTAAAATAAGACCAATAGAAGTTTCTAATCCTAATGAAATTTTATTTCCTATATATATATATATACACAGATATCTCAAATAGGCATGCATTTGCATGGGTTCTTTTCACCTTTGTTGCTGGTATATTTTATCACATATGAGTTGTTATCCTTAATTAGAGTTAGCTTTGTCACATTGGTGCATCTTTCATATGAATAAAGCCAAACAAGTAGTTGAAACGTGGGACAGGCAATTTCATTGTTCTCCTCGTGAGCAAAGATTGGCATTTCTATATCTTGCAAATGATATTTTGCAGAACAGCAGGCGAAAGGGTTCAGAATTTGTTGGTGAATTCTGGAAGGTTCTTCCAGATGCTATTCGAGACGTGGTTGAAAATGGAGATGACTTTGGAAGGAACGCTGCACTTCGACTGGTATGTTAATAATCAATAAATGTTTTTTTTTTCTAATTACTGAAAGTTCTGTATACCTTTTCAACCTTCTCTGTTTGCATAAACATACTTTTGGTAAAGCATTAGGAAGAAAAAGTCATTTGGAGTTAACAAAGTTTCTTCTTTTGCCTACTTTTTGAGAGAGGTTCTATGAGAACATTATTCTCCAACCTTTGTAAGGCAAGGGTGATGTATAACTTGTAAGAAAATCAAGAGGCAAAAGGGCCTTGCAAAGGTTGGAGAATAATGTTATTTGTAGAACCTCTCTCAAAAAGTATTTAACATGAATTTTTAATAATTCATTTGACATTGATTTGCAAATTCTGGCTAAAGAATGATGATTTTTCCTTCTAGCACTCAAGAACAAGTTGAAGGTCGCACTATGGATCTTGATTCTTATCACCAATATATTTAGAAAGCCATGTTTGTAGGGATCTATGAAAAGTAGTTGTTTGAGACATAAAAGCCATCATACACTTTTCAAAAATTGATCCTGAGTTGACCTTCAGGGTTTTTCCGTTGACTTTAGCTAAAATATGACCATTATTTTCAATGTTCAATCCACTGTTAGTTTCAATTTTTCAATGGCATGCTATTAACTTCTTTAATTCTAATATGTATTTCCTTCTAATGTGACATATCTATTGTGTTGTAATTAATTTTTTTTTAAAAGAAAAAGGATATTATAACCGGCATTCTTGGCCCCCTTAATATGGAAATCCTACCTCCTCTACTGATGTTCAAATTGGAGCATAGGAAGAACTTTCTAGTCCTTAGATTGGTTACAGATTGTCAACTAATGCTTTTCGGTTCACTTCAAGTAGTATATTGGTTGGCTAGGCGGGTCTGAAAAATGTATCTTTCAGAAGCTCACTAAGTTGATTAATGATGAGGTCTTTTGTTAGGAAATTTTCTGTGACTTAAAGTTATTCCCAAATCTGCAGACTTGATCCCTGAAATCATGGGATCAAGTTTGAATCAACGTGATATCCATGCCTCCTGGATCTGCGACAGTTATTTCTCCATATGCATTCATTCTGTCTTTGTTTTCTGGTCATGTTATTACCTTGTCACAAGGGATTCTAGTGGCAACAAAGTTTCCATGATCTCTATATATTTGTAACTCTTGTAGAAAATGAGAAGAATTCAATTCTTTCTGTCTCCTCTCTCTCTCAATTTCTTCATTCTTTTCATTATTTGGTGGAAATATTATTAGTCATCTTTCCCTTTCCTCCAAATAGCATATTGCACTGTCTGTTTAACTACAAATGATTGCCTCATCAAATGGTTTTCCCCATATACCTCAGTTGATCTGTTTATTCTATGTCTCTTGTTGAATTGATATATTGTCTAATTCAGTTAGAATTTCTAAACTTTGAGCTTCAAGTTAATTGTGTCATCAGTACTTTATTGAATGTTCACCAGATTATTCTGTTATATTGCAGATGCAACATAGGTGCTTGACCTTTACCCATTTTGATCCTGGCTTGAGCTTATTATACAAACTCGTTGAAAATTTTAAATGGTGGTGGCACAATTTTTTTTCAAATATATACATTTTGTTTCTTCCTTTTTTGTTTCATGCTGATTGTTTCAAGTTTACAGTTTTGCGTATTTCATACTCTGTTCTCCTTGTTTTCTTTTACCTTTTTAATATTTGCATATTATTTTTTCTGTGATATATGTTGATGATTAGTATAGTGTGTTGGGATTATTAGTCTTTATCTGTTTTCTTTTTTAAAAAATGGAAAATAATATGGGTTGCTCAAACGGACACTAAATGGTTCTCTCACCTAAACAACTTACTTTTGGCGCCCATTGCATGTTTCAAAAGTTAAATCTTAGAATTAGTGAAATCTCTATGTTCTTGTTTCATGTTTGTAAATTTTGATAGTAAAATAAATCATGTGAAACATTGACAATGAATTTGTTGATTGGTGAATTGCAATTTTTTCTTTGATGCAGATAGGTATATGGGAAGAGAGAAAAGTTTTTGGTTCTCGTGGTCAAATTCTTAAGGAAGAGTTTGCTGGGCGACATGTGGAAAATATTACTCGTAATGGGAAGCCTATGAACTTGAAATTGGTAATAGTTATATGAGCATGACTTTGTGAACCAGCCACCTTGAAGTTTTTCTGCATGTTGGTTCCAACTCTCAGCCCTTTTGCATTCCTTTAACAGAGACCATCTGCTGGGAATGCATTGGAGAAAATAGTTTCAGGTTATCGTGTTGTTTATGGAGGGCAGACAGATGAAGATGTTGTACTGAGTAAATGCAGGAATACCATTAGCTGTCTTGAGAAAGTGGATAAGGAAGTTGGCCGTGATAATAATTCAGGTATATCAATTGTAAAACGTTCTCTTTAGTTTGTAGGAAATGTGTCTCAGGCCTGGAATTATCTGTATTTGGGCAAGCATAACCTGTTCCTAATTTTTTTAATCAATATATTCTGTAGTTGTGCCAAAAAAAAAAAAATCTGTGTCTGTGTATGTATCTACTCAGGTCAACTCAGCCTTACACAAAATGGGAATTAGGGATTATTAAATAATTAAGGCTAAAGAAAAAAAATTGAACATGAATAATTATGTGGATTTAAATCAAACTAGGTAATTGTCATGATTTTACCATGACTTTCTATCGAGTTTTCACATTTCAGGAGATGATAAGATGAAAAAAAACAAGCTGAAAAAGACTTTAGAAATTATTGATTTTTTTGTCATTGATTTGATTGCATTAGCTCAAATTGATATCTGATATAAAGCTTATGTTAAATCACCAATTTATCTCATGCACTTAGTGAATGTATTGCCATGTTGAGTAAAATAATGATGGTCCAAAAAGATATCGTGTAACATTTTGTCTGGTTGGGTTGGAATTCTTTTCTATTGCATCTTATTGGATGCCTTATTATTCTATTAACTAACTTGAGTAGGACAATTCCATGGATCTGCGGTGGTGGATGAGCTCCAGGGGCATAATGCTGCACTGAGGGACTGCATAGAGCAATTAACAGCAATAGAGTCATCGAGGGCAAGCCTTGTGTCTCACCTGAGAGAAGCTCTCCGGGATCAGGTTCTTGTTTAAGATTGCTCATCTTTATGAAGGTACAAACCTTTATTAGTTTGTAATTCTTACATGATTTTGCTTCCAGGAACTTAAGCTGGATCAACTCCGAAGCCAGATCCAAGTAAGGGATTTATCCAAATTCAGTTATTTATTTTTAAATTCTCTTGCTCTTTTTAGTGAAGTGTCAATTGCGGATTAGAGGAGAGGACCTACTTTTCATGAATGTCTTAGTTATGTGCAAGAATTTTGTGACTTGAAACGGCATTTTTTGGACGTGTTTTGAGTATTTTATTTTCAACATTTCAGGCTGCACGTGTTCAGTCAGAACAGGTAGGTAATACCTGTCGACAGTTACTAAACAGCAATAATATTCTATCAGCAGCTGAGCAAAGTTCAAAAGAAATTCATACCTCCACAGCACCTCCAAGCTTTATGCCAAAAGATAGGGAGCAATCAGCTCCATTAATGTACACACAGCAAGTTTCTTTCCCTCAAAAGCCTGGACACGTTGAGGAAGAGCCGCATAAGTCTGCTGCTGCTGCAATGGCAGCAAAGCTAACTGCTTCAACATCATCTGCCCAGATGCTGTCTTATGTGCTGTCCTCTCTGGCATCAGAAGGGGTCATCGGTAATTCCATTAGTGAGTCTTCTGGTGATTATCATTCAGAGAAGAGGGCCAAGCTGGAGAATGACCAGCCATCTTATATACCATCTCAGAATCCTCCACAACAACCGATTCCTCCCCGTCCACATCCTGATTCTATTCAACACAATGCGTCTATGATTAATCAGCAATCTACTTCTAGTGAACCACCACCTCCACCCTTGTCATCACCACCACCATTGCCACCACCTCCACCAATGCCACAGTATCCGATGCCACAGTTCATGCAGGCTGCTGGCAATGTAACATATAGCTATAGCATGGCGCAGCAACCATCAACGGCAACTTTTCCAACTGTGGGGACTCCCCTGAACAGTGTTTCTCCACTTACACCTCCTCCAATGACTACTTATCAGGGTTTCCAAGGTTCAGATGGAAATTACTATAACCAGCCCTCATCAATGCCAATGGCTCCAATTTCTCGGCAATAAATTCCTGATCCTTGCTGTGATGGAATCGGATTCATGCTATGATCAGATCTGCACATATTAGATGTTTCCTAACCTGATTATTTGTTAATTACTGTTCACTTTAGGGGGTTAAAAAAATATTCATTTTAGGTGTTAAAACTGAGGGGAGGGCCTTTAAGTGTTGTAGAAGTTTCCTGATGTTAATGATTTAGGGTTTAGAGGTTTACTGGTGGAAGGTTGCAAGAATGCAGATGCTGGCATAATCAGTGGCAGGAAGCAACTCATCTGTCAAGCCGGCCTGTGTGTTTCTAAATGATCTGCAGCGACCCTTTTGGATAGCAGTTGTATGTACAAATCAGTGTTATGTATTAGTAATTTATGGACTTACGTGTGCTAGAGCTAGAACTGAGTAATAGGCACAAGTAATTATCAGCAGCATATTAGTTGTATGATAAGTTATACTTCCAGTTCCAAGGCATGTTCTGCTTTTTGTCTTACATTGATTAGTGAAGCATGAGTGAACTTGTTTCTGGAAATTTGAGTTTGTGGGATTTAGAGGAGTATAACAAGTATAAAATAAAGCAGCACATCCTAGTTAAGTTTTTTGGAATTAGGTACGTGATACATGGATTTTATGTTTAATTTCCGTTTTATGTAAACTTAGTTGTTTTGTTGCCATGTTAGTTTGATTGTGTGTCTGTGATTACAAGCGTAGATTGGTAATTGGGGCAGGTTGCTATTCAAGCTTTTTAGACTACTCCTGTTCCCCTCTTTTTAGTGAAGAGTGGTGTGCCTTTTGTGTGTGATTTCCTGCTCCGATTGTTACTCCGCTTAGGTCTAATTTTAGGACTGGATTGGAAGTAATTGACATTCGATTACAGAGTATGAAATAGCTGAATCTCATTGCAGGATATAAAGTTACTACTTGGTGGAATTTTTGTATTACATGAAGCTTTATATAAGTGATGTTGTTTGAGTAATGAATAATGTGTTTTCTTGTTAGTTTATTAGATATATAGATATGCATTTGCTTCTTGATTCATTGTATATATATTTGCATTTATTGTAAACAAAATTGTGGAGAGCATGTATCTTTAAGCATTGAAGAAAGGTATCAAATACATGTGCAGATCTGTATATTCATGTCTATCTCATCTTGTCACTGTTTTGCATTCTTATTTTCTTGGGGGCCTATCGACTTTACGATCCACTCTAGTTGTCACCCAGAAATCGAGGTAACATCTTCGAATTTAAAGATGAACTCTTTCGGCTGGGGTGATGAGCGCCTGATGTACTCTGGATGGTCTAGAGTTAAGTACTTTTTTATTTTTTATTTTTGTAAAATAAAAATTTATAAAATTTTCAATAAATATATTAATTACCAATATGTATTGTTTATGCTCAATCAAATCAGTTCAAATTTAACATTAATTTTTTTATAATTTTTATAATTTGATCATACAGATTTACTCTGTATTATTTAGATTCAAAAATTTTTAATTTGTTATTTTGTCAAATTCAAAACAGTGTACAGTTTTGACAACAGTCCACAATAAATCTGTATGAATAATTTATAAAAATTATAAAAAAAATTAATATTAAGTTTGGACAGACCTGATTAAATATAAACTATACATATTGATAATTAATAAATTTATTAAGTTTTATAAATTTTTTTCATTTAAAAAAATAAATAATTAATTAAATTTAAATGGTTCAGATTATTTGAAGGATGATGTGCGCCCTCTTATGGGCTTTAAATGTGCTTCCCTCTTTTTCCTTTTCTCCTTTTATCACTCTATTTTATTTTAAAAAAAAGAAAGTAGAAACGACAAGCAAAAGTTTGGGGAAGAGCACAGACTAACTGAAACTAACAGACAAAACTTAAGCAATCCATTGCTTATCACCCAAAATTAAATCCCTGCAATTCTCTCCTTCTACCACTCTAATCTTTGCACAATTCGGTGGTATGTGTTAGCGGCTGGGCTGATCAGAGGGTCATGGAGATAGACCTTATTATAGAGATGAAGGCTGCATAGTGATGGAACGAATAATAGCAATGGGTGATATTCTGGTACAGAGCAGTTAAAGCAAAAGCCTAAAAACAAATGGAAAATAATAATAAAGAACCCATAAAAACATTAATAACAGTTACAAATTTTAAATTATTAAAATTTTAATAACAAATCATGATCTTTACAATTTAAAAAATGTAAATAGTCAGTTAAAAAATTAATAAAATATACATGAAATTATTCGTAATGTCAATTAAAAATTCATAAGTCAGTTGTAAATTTTAATTTTTTGTTATCAATATACAAATAAATCACTTGATAAATTAAAAAAATACAATTAAAATTTTTTTTAATATTAGTTGGAAATTTAAGAGAATCAGTTGAATCACAAGCCAATTACTTGTAATTTTTGCACTGCTAATATATAGATAAATTGCTTGAAAATCTATAAAATATATCTATGATTATTTATAGTCAGTTGATAATTGTAAGTTAATCACTTGTTATTTTTTGTTATCATTTGAAAAATCAATTAAACAAAAAATACTTGAAAATTTTTGTAGTATTAGTTAGGAATTTATAAAAGTCGATTATGAATTTCAATCCAATCAACAAAAGATAATTTATTATAAGCAAGGACTATCATGCATTATTGTTAGAATTTCAATACTCAGGGTTTATAATAGTTATTAATATTTTTATGGGGTCCTAACTATTATTTTCCCTTAAACAAATGTGAAGAAGCTGCAGGAGAAGAGAGATAGTGAAAAATAGAAATGACAGAAATGGAGATCACGACCTACTCTTGACAGTTCTTAACGTGAAATGGGCATTTATATTGCCATATATATGAACTATCTAGGGAATTATAATCAGGGCCGTGGAAGCCACAAGTGAAGCAATTACCTTAGACCTAAAAAAAAAAAAAATCTTAATGTCCCTATTATATGTGTGTAATTAATATGTGTACTATTATATATATTTGATTACAAATCAAAGAAAAAAAAAGTATTGATTGTTCTTCCTACTAAAAAGTTTCAGTTATTCTCAATATAATATTAATTATTGAGCTAAGTTTATTATCTATCTATATAAAAAAAGAATTATGAAATTCATAATACACTAATTTACACCACATTAGCTTGCAATAACTCCCTCTTTTCACTTTTTTATTTCTTATTTTTAAAACCTAAAGATTAACAAACATCAATATCAAGATTGTATGCAGTTTTAGACCATCAAGGCGAGCCTTAGAAAAACCTTATTGAAGAATCACATAATTATTATTGATTTTTTACATTAATAATTGATATCAATCATCTGCCTTAATATTCAGTTATTCTATCTCAATGTATAAGATAGAGTAGGAGCATTTTATCAACACTTATTTTCACCTCTCTATGGAATTAGTTTAATATTTTATTAAAATTACTATATTATAAATTTTTAATATATCATTGTGAAGAAAATTAAATATGAGTGGATGTCTTGTTAAAGGGGTAGTTACACATGCTAGGCTTGACTGATAATTTTATTTTATTTAGGACTCAAAACTTCACACCGTCCTGATTACAACTTGGGTTCAACCATGCGTGTGCATTTTGTATATAGAAAAAGGTTTGATGAGGGATACAAGTGTGGCCAACAACCTTTTTCTCTCAAGTCAGGTCAGGAGTTCTCCCCACTTTCTTCCTCACATGTACTGGTCAGCTGGAGAATCCTTGCTAAACACTTTATCTCAAGAAAGTTGCTTTTGGTTTTGATTGAACGACGATCCAACTCAACAACTTCCCTTTGGTGGACTTGTGCTAGCTTGCTCCCTCTACTTTGCCATTGTGGCCTTCTTGGTGCTGGACAAGAAGTTTTAGCGATTAATTAACCATGGATTTGATTCTTTTAGTTTCTTGCAAAACTGACATTATATTGTTATGTTTTTTCCGGAAAGAAATAAACAAGAATACTTGGGACCAATCAAAGTGATGCAATGCGCGGTACGGTTTATTTCTTTTAAAGGTCCTTGAATATTCGTTTTCTCTAAAACAAGAGGATTGAAGCTGATTAGACCCTGTTTGGAGTTTGAAAGCGAGAAACCAGGATTTGGATGGCACACGAGTGGATGATATTTTGGCTGCGAAATAGGAGCGAAGGGCAAAGGAACGGACACACATTCCCTGAAGTTGAATAACAGTGTGGAGACACTGAGACAAAAGCACCGCCAGATCCTAATACCGATACACTCTTCCTTCCATAGATCGACTTGCTTTCAGGTTCTAAATTGCATCTATAAAATTCTGAAAAAGCTAAGCGTTTTTACATCCCTAAAAATAAAAGAATAATACCAAGACTCAAGAGGTGGCATAGGCACTGCCTTGAATTTCTAGCCCCCCACCCTTCTCTCTCTCTCACACGCACTTTTATCTTAATGAAAAAGGAGGGTTTGATCTGATGGGGATGGTGTATTGGATGGGCGGTGCTGCCATGCTGTTGAAAGTGATAAGGACAATGGCAAAAAGACAGAGAGAATCGGAGAAATGTAATGGTGATGAGGGGTGAGCGGAGAGAGAGAGAGAGAGAGATGAATAAAAAACAGGGAAGGGGAAAAAGCAGTCAACGTTGGAGTAACGTCAGCTGCGGTTAGCAGAGTTAAGGAACAAAAGCTGAGAAAAGCCGTCATGTCTGCGTGCGTGTTTGCTTTAACGGCTGAACCAGAGTTTTGATGTTGATAAAGCAGGGTTTGGTTTGGCTTCGATTCTTTCGTGACTTTCTTAAACTTTTTTTATAAAAAGAAGGGTTTGCGTCAGACTTTGCCTCCCATGAATCATCCCTCATGACACCATTATTCCTTTACGTATGGGCGTGTTCACTCTCTCTCTCTCTCTCTCTCTCTCTGTGTGTGTTCATGTTTCTGTCTCTTTCTTTGTGTTTGTTTGTGTCTATCCTCTATACTGTGAGAGAGAAGCAAGTAGAGTTAAGGGGTTAATGAGGGCGTGCTGTGAATGTGTGCTTGCTTGTCTGCTGCCGACCCAAAACGAAATTAATAAAAATGATGAGATTAAAGAGAATGAGGAGACCAACAGACATCCCACATAATTAACCTGAAACCACACAATGTTATGTTTCATCTCTATCCTCTTAATTCCTCATGGACTGCCAATAAGTAATAACCAACACAACATTGTTCCTCTTTGTATGGTTTGGTGTCTGCCTGATAGGACTGGTTTATACATCTTAATTAGATGGAGTAATTATAGAGAATATTTCTTCCTATTGTACAACTTCCTTCAGATATTCAGTGTGTTTGGGAATGAAACAGCCAAGCTAATTCAAATAATGTATTTCATGTTCACGTCCCCCTTAGGGTTTGTAGTGTTGACTTCAAAGTCGTACATTCTGGGCTGAAAACAATGTCAACAAGTTACTCATCATAATTTGCAAAATCAATAATCAATAATCATTGCATATATTAAACCTTTGTTACTGTA